ACAGAGGAGTCCAACTTCCAACTTTCAAGAATTCAATGTTTTCTGATTTTAAATTCAGATTCCTTCATTTTTATGAGGCTCAGCTTTCCCTATAGTTCTTTCTTTATTCTCTCACCAAATAGAGGGGCCCTGATACTTATCTTTGGGGTATCTAAATTTCCACATAGTCAGTTTGTGTTGGATTACACTTTCACTGAACTTCAAAGATAATCACTTCATCCTTTTACTCATTCATTCACTCATTCATTTACTCAATTTATTTTAAAGTTTTACCCTATCTGTTTTGGGTGGTATATATGACACCTTCCTCAAAACAGATAAGAAATAAAAAATTCAGTTTTGAAAAATAAGGTGGAAACATTTCTTATCTTAGTTTTACCTCACGTGCTTTCCTAGTCATAGAAATTTGAAAAACAAGTTATAATAATAATGCCAGAGAAAGGAAAAAAACAGCTTCTTTTTTTCTGACTAAAAAAAAAAAACCAAACAGAAACAGAAACACACACACACACACACACACAACACAAACCAATTCCTTCAGGTTCTTCATGATTTTGCAGCTACTTATTAGGTTTACATAATAAAGAAGGTTCTTTATAACTCGGGGACATGGTGTTTGCATCCTGTTCCTCCCCCTGCTATGTGGCTCCATGGAAGCAGGCCCTCAAGGAGGCAAAACGCTGCTTTAGGCCACAGTGTGCTCCCACCTGCTCTCAGGAAGTGACTTTTGAGTACTAGCAAAAGTGCTTATTACTGGTTCCTATGCGGTCCCTGCTGACTTCTTATTGTAATACTGTTAAAAAGTTTTCTTTACTGGAACAAATATATTCCATTTGGATTATGTCATGAATTTCATCTGGCATAATGAGACTTTCAATAGCTTTTGTATGTCACCTCTTTTTCACATCACTTGTCTGGTGGCACCAAGAATACTTCCTCACTGAAAATAGATCCATTTACAGTCAATAATAGGGCGGTTAGTGTTCGTTTTTCTTGGGAAAATGAAAATGTGCACCTTTTATCCTATTATACTGATCCACCAGCTTCAGATTATCTGATTTTCGAGCTTCTCATTTTCTCCTGTATCTTAATGCTATTATTAACGAGAATTCTGTTGCTAATGGTTTTGAAAAATAATATGTGTGCTTTCAGCCACCACCCGTATTTTTATGGTTTGTCTGATTTAGCTGGACTTTGGTAATTATTCCAAATGCTGCTTTGCTGTGGATCAAATGTGAGAGCCCTGATGTCCTTCCAGATTTATTTTCAATGTCCTTAATTTTGCTACAAGAGAATGGAGTTAATATTGTAGCTGTTAGTCACTAGGTGAAAAACACTTCTAAGTGTACAGTCTATAGTTTATATTATATTTTTTAAGAGTTTATATTCTCTATGTAATATTGTCTATATTCTCTACCATCTTTCTATATTTATATATAGATATATATATAGAGAAAAAGAGGGTTTTTGTTTTGTTTTGCTTTTACTTTAGAACATTAGTTTTATGAATATCTGGTCATATTTTCATGTGAAATTAAAAATATATATATATTCCAGAGCAACATTTCCTTATCATTTGTTTTTGAGAAAAATCCCAGATGTTAATAGATGTGCTGGTAAATACATATATTTATTGGTCAAAATAGTTTGAGAAACCTTAAGTTTAAAATTTTTTTACATTATTATACAAGTAAATAGAGACTTTAATATGCTAATTTGCATTGTGAATCACATTAAGGATTACTTAGTATGTATTAATTCCCAAACCTATTTGATAATAGAACCCTTTTCAAATGATTATCAGTTTGAGAAATGCCTTTTAACAGACTGACAAACATTAGTCCTTGGGTGCAGAAATAAGTAACTTTTATCATAACCCGGTCAGGAAGAAAAAGCAAAATTGTGTTAAAAAACTCTAAATAATAGGAAAGCATAGAATTTTATATTATATTTTAGAAAATATTTTTATTAAAATTATATAGAGGGGGAAAAAAAACCCTCAACTATCCAGTTATTATTTACATGGACTTATTCATTGTTAGTTGATGGTAAATTAAAGTCTTACTCTAAAATGGAAATTTAAATTTTTTCTTTATATTATTATTGGGATTTAGGAGAAATTTGTACTTCTTTTCCTAAGTATCATAAAGCTCATCCTATATAAAGAAAGAATCATTACTTCAGATATTTTATAGCAATGATTGATGGCCATCTAAACATAGTTACCTGTGTATAAACATGTGTGTCCAAAATTTCTTAAAGCAAAACAGTTTCATAGTGATAAAAAAAAAAGAAAGAAAAGCAATAGAAAAAGACCAGATTGACATAGAGGGGGAAGGAAAACTCTTGGATTGATTGCATCCAGAGGTTTTCTGAAGAGGTGACTTAGAGAAGAACAGCAAGCACAATCTTGAAAGAAGGAAAAGAGATTAATTTAGTGAAGGTGATTTCTGCTGAGGGAAACTCCTAATTTGGTTAACAGTGAAGAATCTAAAGATCAGAAAAATAGATATGCAAATAAAAATTATGAGCAAATGTGTGTTGATTAGAACACTAGTTCTGTGAGATACTGTGGGGAAAATAAGACAAATAAGTTTGGGAAATGCTACTTCATCCTTTGTGTTTAATTTTGCTTTAATTGAAATTTCACAAAATGAATTTATCACAGAATTATTTTCCCATAAATTAAGAATCCTCACAACCCCTTGGGAGAACACTAAGCTAATAGTAATAGGAATAAGGACTACTAATTAATGGACCTCTATCATAATCATTGCTTCTTTGGGACAAAAATGCTAAGACTTAGGTCATACATATTATCATATGATTCTGTCTTCTTTCATTATTAAGATAAAGATGCATTGAATTGAATTGGATTTACCTTTTAATATTGTTAAGTTCCTGAAATACAAGATCCTTCTAAATCCGGGTCATGTAGGTAAGACCTCTTCATGTGGAATCCTCAGACCCTAAATAATTTTTAAACAAGCAGCACTGTTAGATTATAGTGCTTTGACTCAAACATTTTTTTTGGGGGGGGGGGACTGGGGACTTTTTTGCTTACTTTATAAACATTAACAATACTTCTAATTTACAACTGAGCTACACAAAGCCTTGTTTAAGTATGTTTAATTTCCAGTCAAACTTTAAGGACAGATCCTTAAAGTCATTGAAAATTTGGTTTATAAACATTTACTTCTAAAAGCAACACCTTTAAGATTTAGAAGGTTAAACCAGCCCCTCCATCTACATGAGCAAAACTTTAGAGAAATCAATCAGGCCAACTAAGAATCAAGCAATGGCTAAATGAATCATAATACATTTATTCTCTTTTCTTTTCATTTTTAGGTCATGATTGTAATGGGAAAACCTTAGTTATATGTTGGTTGCACGTGTTTGTGTTCTCTGACTTGCCTGTGGAAGAATGGTTGATGTGAGTAGGAATGTTTAGAGATAGGCTTTAATGTATGTGGGGCTGACATCAATTTAGAGTTAAAACAGAATTTTTGTGGGTACTCATGGATTTTTTTAAAACCTTTTCTCTCTCTCTCTCTCTCTCTCTCTCTCTCTCTCTCTCTCTCTCCTCTCTCTCTCATAGGACTAAATTCCACAGTTTAAGTTGGTTGACTGTGACTGGCCTCCCTCATATTATCTGCAAAGATATCATGACAATTTTTGTCCTTAGTGAAAGTCTGTGTCATGGTTACAAGTTGGATGCGAACATTTTAAAGTTTAACTGAAGACAAGTGAATAAAATTGTTACATTCCTGGAACCTTCCTTCTAAATCCATGTGATGAATGTAACCTTTTTTGAAATGGTATCACCAGACCGTACATCATTTCTAAGTAGCACTTTTAATTTTCTCTCCAAAATAACTTTATGCCTACTTTATAAGAGTTACAAGTTTTTCAATTTGGAATTCTGCCTCAAAACACTTCTTAAATATGTGTTTAAAGAAGTGGCAATGATAAAAGAAGGATTCTTTAAATCCTTGAAAATTTGGTCAAAAGTGCCATTTGGTGAGGTCAGTCTTATTCTCTACACTTTTGAAGAGTTTAAGATATTTTTCTGTTAAAATGGTAAGGTGACTTGACAAGTAGCATGATTATATAAGGAAAATAATCAACCTTTTTTCATCTTAAGTTACATTGTTCTTATGAAAGTGATAGATACCACAATTATTTAGACAAGTTATTTTTAAACATGGTTTCATGAATTATATAGTCTAGATTCAATAGCTAGTTAATTTGCTTGTTTTTAATGATATAGTAGCAATACTTCCAAGGTCTTAGAGATGGATCCTTTATTTAGTCTTTTTTTCTTTAATTTTTTTTTATTTTAATCTCAGACTTACAAAAAATTAATATAAGTTGACATACAATATTATTCTACTTCAGCTTCAGTTGTACAGTGCATTGGTCATGCATTTAAACAGTCTATGACGTGATCCCCATCTGGCACCCTACATAATCTTTACAACATTGTTAATTATATTCCCCATACTGTATTTCATATCCCCATGGCTATATTGTGTCTACTAATTTGCTCTTTCTAATCTTTCATCTTCTCCCCCATAGCCTTCCCCCATCTGGATACAAAACTTTTGAAATGTATAGACCAGCTATTTTGTAGAATGTCTATCAATTTGGGTGTCTCTTATGTTTCCTTGTGACTAGATTACTGTTGTGTCAGACTTTTTAACAAAAAAACAAGGAATTGCATAACGTGATTTTACAACAACAAATTTCATTCCTGTTCATAGCTCTGAAAATTAATATAATTATTTGTCATATTTGCATCAAACAGAATACTCAATGCCAGATTCCCAGCAGAAAAGAGTCTCCTAAGAGATTTTATACATATTTCTTAAAGAACAAACTAGATTTATTTATTGAGTATCTTGTTAGTTTTGATGTTTTATGGAATCACATAGATCATTCTAGAATTTACTGGGAAAACAAATACAGTGTACAATAGTATTGATTTTCTCTTTTCACAGTTACTCCTGAGTGCCCAGAGAAAGGAAGAAACGTTTTCCTCTCCTTAAATGAACTCAAATTCTTATCAGAGCTCGTAAAATCCTTTTTGAAGCTGGAAAAAAATGTTCAAGAATTGTTAGAAGAAATGTTTTTATTGCTTAAGGTACCCAGGAATACTTCAGGTAACATGCTCTTTTGTTTAAATTTGTAAATCTATCAATCTTTTTGTGTTTGCTTCCTGCCACTGAATCTGTACCATTACTTAAAAAAATAAAAATGCATGATAGAATTCTTTAAATAAACAAAGTTATGAGAGAAACATTAATAATTAAGAAAATTCTATTAAGCCAGAGAATTACAGTTTTATCCTTTATACATGGCAAATTCCATAATTCTATTTGACAAAGCATTGTAAGTCAATTCTGGATAATTGTCTTTAGCTAAAATCATTTAGCTAAAATGAAAAGATCAAGCAGACTGAATGATGTAGTAGCTGCTCTTCTGCTATGAGCAACTGGATGATGGGGAGCAAAATATTTAGTTTCCTTGGACCTAATTTTTCTCATCTTCACAATGATAGTGTAGGGCCAAACTAAATTTTTCTTTCTTTTATTTTACAATTAGATGCTTTAGATTTCAGTATGTTATATAGGGCTGTGAGAATGAAATGATTTAGTATATGTAAACTATTTAAAAGAACGTCTAGCACATCATAAAAACATAATTATAGTTATATAATAGGTTGCTTTAAGTTTAGTCTTAAAGAAATCCTTTTGAAGAAAGCTATGCCATGTGTGTTGAAACAATGTTTTTAAAATTTAAGGTAGAGTTCAAAACCATAATAGTTAAGATATGTTCTCCGTCTTCCTATCTATACTTATAAAGATTTGCAACTATTAATATATCAGCATGAACTATACAAAGTTCTCTTTTACATGATACCATATATCTTTTTTTTTTTTTAAAGATTTTCTTTGGGAATTGGGGGAGGGGAACAGCGTTGGGGAATTGGGGAAGGGAACAGACAAGCTGCTGTCCTTTTGTTCTTCAGTCTAGTTGTGGAGGATGTCGCTTCACTGGCCTATGTTGATATTATCATTGCGTTCTTCCCCAGTGAGGCAGTTGCTCAGCGGCCATTGGATGGCTGCTCATGGAGGCTCATGGCAGCTCATGAAAGCTCACACCTACTGCCGGCCAGCTTCACTGCAGCTTACGCCCTGCGGGCGACTCACGGCAGCCCAGCTCCAGGTCGAGCTGTTGTTCACCATCTTAGCTGTAGAGGGCGCAGCATCACTGGCCCTCATGTGGGATTTGAACCGGGGCCCTGCTGCTCAGAGCTGTTGTCCCAAGCCAACTCTTAACCAATGTGCCAGTTGGCCGGCCCTGTATATCATTTTAAGGAGAATAAATATAGATAGCGGCTGCATTTATAAAACAAAGTTAGGCAAGCAAGTGATTAACAATCAATCTGAAAACTTCAAAACCTGATTTCTTAGTAAGTAATTACATTTAGTTTAATATATTTACTTTTGTATTTATTTACTTTCCCTGGGTAACTAATTTTAGGTAAGTAATAAGGTTGGAGTTTGTTTTATATTAGCTTATTGGCCTATGTTTCAGGTTAAGTTTAAGTAGCACTATTAAATTATAAAGTAAATAATATAAATAATTTTCCAAATTTGGAGATAATTTGAAGAAGAATGGAGGTGGATTAGAGATTTCTGAAGCTGACAAAAAACCAATGGGAAAAATAATAAAAATATAAGACAAATTTGAAAATTAAAACACAGATGAAAAAGTAGATTAATTAGAAGGCAACATGAGTTATAGAGGGTCTTTTAGATGGAACTGACTGGGTCAAAGAGAGATCTGAATAGAGAAATTTGACATCCTGACTTTTGATTGACATGTTGGTTCCTTGAGCAGTTGAAACTTGGTGTGAGTACTCACCCATCATCATTCCTGGCAAAGATTTGGCATCCCTCATGCACATTTCTAGCAGATCTTTTCTGAGTTGTGAATCAAGAAACAGAGTGAATGCCAACAAACCTGGGCCCTTACCCATTCAGGCTCATCTTGCGTCTTCCCGAGGCCAGGCCCTAGAGATATTAGTTCAATTCTGATAACTCTGTTCCTCTTAAGGGCCACATAAATTCAAAATTAGAATTGTGTTAAAGAGGCATTGTGAAGATATAAAACTGAAATGGCCAAAAATTGAAGCAAAGTGTTACCTAGTGGTTTCAGAGAAAAAGAAAAAGCTTGTTCAGCTTCATTAAATTAAAATAAAGTGATGCTGAGTCTTGCAAATGCTGTAAATTTAAGAGCAATAGTTACCATTATTGAATAAAATCAACAGAGAAAATATATAATTGTGCCACAATATACTGTCTTACCCCAAATTTGTCATACAAGCAGCATGGCATATAAAAGCAACTTCACTATCACAATAATAGTGTGTTATAGAAACATATTTGTGGATTATTGAACACAGTCTGAAAGGACTTTTGGAGGACAGGTATAAGAAATGCTTAAGTGTACTAGAACATCTCCTTGTGGTATATGTCTTCCTTTTTGTTGCAATTCATATATGTATTTTTTGTAACAAAGCCAAGATTGATTTAATCTGATGTAACTTTATATAAATGGGTCCCTGAAAAGAATAATCTTGAGGGAAATTATGAAGAAAAATCTTAAATGTTTTATTTGTGTAGCCAAGTTAGTCGATTCTTATCAAAAGACTTGGTTTCTTAAATTAGGAAGGAAAAGATTCCTTGTAACAGATGATTAAAGAAACCAAATGTATCTTAGGTTATCCTGATAGTCACTCTTGCTTAGAAATCTTGTGTGGGAGAGGACGGGAGGCGGGGAGATGGGGAAAGATCAAGTCATTTGGAATCCAGTGTGTTTCTTTTGATTGGAGCATATTTTGCTAATAAAAATCTTGGAAAGAGTTGCCTACTATGTCTATGTAACCAAAACAATGTGATGAAAGGTAAAGTTTTTTTGTTTTGTTTTCATTGTTCAGATATTTTAAAAATATCCAGGTGCTTAACATCACATAAAGAAAATATAAAGATGACTTCCAAATAACTTACTTTTTACTTTGATGTTTCCTACTATACTGTTGAGTTAGTCAAATTGTCAGTGTTCTTAGTAATCTGAATATAATTTGAAATCTCTATAGATCTTATAGAGACACAGAAATATTTTTTAAGAAAGAAAAGGTATTTAGTCATTATATGTTTTGCTTTTGGGGGGCCATGATTTGGTGGTGTTCTGTTTTGGTCATTTCAAAAACATGATAGAACGTTATTTGACTGTTATGGTGCCTTACTGTATTTCTTTTAGGTGATTATATCTTATGGAGTGGCCTTGGGTTCGATTTGTGGGGCACTTCTAATGCTCCTTCAGAATAAAGTTGTTCTCTCGGGCAGTTCCTCAAATTTTCCAAAGGTGGCATCTGAGATTCATCTAAGCCAGGAGGTTCCTTGGCCCTCATTTTTCTTTAGCCCCAGCAATGACAAAGAGCAATGGCTGCTTCAATTGTATGTAAGAAGAACACTTAGGGTTTGTCTCAGAAGAATCAAAGATTTCAGATCTTCTGAAAGATTGTTTGTACTCTTAGGGGGTCTTAAGAGGGGTCAAATGGCTTCTAAGAGTTCCTTAGCTAGATGGTTAAGGGACTGTATTAGGGAGGCGTATGTAGTTAAGGTAAAGAGGCTCCTAGGGTTTGTAAAGCTCATTACACTAGGACTTTCACTGTTTCTTGGGCAGAGAGGTCGAAGGCTTCCACATTGGAAATTTGCAAGGTGGCCACCTGGGCTTCTCTTCATACCTTTTCATAGTATTATCTCTTGGATGTCGTCTCTTCTACAGATTCAGCTTTTGGTGGGAGGTTGCTTGTGAGCCAGAAAAGAACAGTGAAGAAAAGAAAGACTTGTAGTTCCCACTTAGAGCTGCCAACAAGGCAAGTTGCTTTGTAGTGCACACAATGGGAGCCTACGAAGACCAATTTGGGTGTGAAAGTGGATGTCACAGGGAAGTACTGCCAACCTCCACTCTCTATGAAAGAAAGCGACACTGTGGAAACTAACCAGAAGTGCAAATGAACCACAGCAGACTCGGTAGCGACAGGCTGTTTAGCAGCTAGTATTCCTGTGACTCTGCACTCTACTGAGGTTCTTAATCTGGGCATGCTCTTAAAGAAACCAGAGTTGACTGCAGGCAAATAACCTATGTTTGAGAGGCATGAGCCCAAAATGGGCTACCTCCTCTGGACAATGCTAGTAAGTGGATAGAATTTTCAATATATTTTAAATAGGTGAAATAATTCGTCAGATGTTCACAGAACTCATAAAGTTTGGAAATGTCAAATTCTGAAATTGACCATTTTGAATTCCAAACAAATATTAAAATGCCGCAATTGTTTAAAACCATGAGATATATCTTATTTGTCTAGATTCAGGGTTACCAACCCTTTATAATATAATCCTGTGCATGTGTATATATGGGCAGTACATTTCTAAAGTGGACTTGCCAAGTAAAGAGGTATAGTCATTAAGAGGATGAAAAGATTAGACACAGACTGAGAAAAATATTTGCAAAGCACGTATCTTATAAAAGAATTGTATCCAAAATATACAAATAACTCTTAAAATTCAACAATAAAAACTCAATTAAAAAATGAGCGAAGGATCTGAACAGACACTTCACCAGAGAAGTTATACAGATGGCAAATAAACATATGAAAAGATGTGCAACATCATATGTCATCAGGGAAATGCATATTAAAACAAGAAGATAGCACTACACACCAATTAAAATGGCTAAAATTTGAAACACAATACCAGTTCTGGCATGGATGTGAAGCAACAGGAACTCTCATTCATTGCTGATAGGAATGTAATATAGTATAGCCTCTTTGGGAGACAATTTGGTGTATCTTACAAAGCTCAACATTGTCTTACATGATCCAGTAATCATGCTCCCAGGTGTTTCCACAAATAATTTGAAATCTATGTCCACACAAAAACCTGCACACGAATATTTGTAGCAGCTTTATTCATAATTGCCAAAACTTGGAAGCAGCCAAGATATCCTTCCCTAGGTAAATCGATAAACTGTGGTACATCAATCCAATGGAGTGTTATTCAGTGATTTTTAAAAAAAAGAGAAAGAGAGATATAAAGCCATGAAAAAAACATGGAAGAAACTTAAATGCGTATTGCTGTGAGAAAGAAGCCAATCTGAAAAGGCTACAGGCTATGTGACCTTCTGGAAAAAGCAAAAGTATAGAGACAGTAAAAAGATCAGAGGCTTTCAGCGGGAGTGAAAAGGGTAAGAGAGGTGAATAGGTGGAGCACAGAAGATTTTTAGGGCAGTGAAATTATTCTCTACAATATAGTTAAGATGGATACATGATATTATGCATTTGACAAAACCCACCGAATGGCACAACACAAAGAATAAACCCTAATGTAAACTATGGACTTTAGTTTATAATAGCCTATCAATATTGGTTCATCAGTTGTAGCAAATATACCACACCAATGCAAGATATTAGCAATAGGCGAAGCAGAGGGCAGGAGGAGAGTATATGGAAACTCAGCATTATTTTGCTTAATTTTTCTATAAACCTAAAATTGCTGTAAAAACCAAAGTCTATTCATTAAAAAAAAAAAAGAAGAAGATATGGACATTTTGAGAGTTCCAAGTCAGTTTGTCATGTCTATTTTGACTGCTCATGGTATTTTTATTATGCAGAATTGTTTTACGGCTTCTCCAAGTTGTGTCCTTCTGAAGTCTTTTCTACACAGGTCTTCTGAAAAAAATATTCCATATTTTCTTTTAGTAGCTTTATAGTTTCCTATTCTTTATTTAAAAACCTTTCATTAATCTGGATTTCTTTTTCAATGTTAGAATTGATCCTTATTTATAATACCATCTTCTTAAAAAGACATAATAAAATGCAAGCCATAAAGAAAGCATTTTAGGTTAAATGGTATAACATTGATCTAAAACCTTCTCTGAATTGTGATGTGTGTTGAGAAATGAAGCAGGATTACTAAACTGCAGTCCATGGGCCCTTGAGGTTCATGAATGCACTTTACAAGAGGGCCTGGGAATCCTCAATAGTATGTTTGAGTGTGTGTGTATGTGTGTGCACTTAGCATTGAGTCATATTGTGCATTTTGGAGGGAGTGTTCTGTGACTTGAATCATGTTTTCAGAAGTGTTTACAAATCCAAAATGATTAAGAAACACTAGGATTGAGGAAAACTTTTCTTCAGAATATATAAACTTTGATAAAATTTCCCAAAAGGACATTGATATCCCTTACCAAATAGAATATTTACCTCTCTAAAAAATGTTTCTGTGAAACTATTATTTAGGAATCATTTACAATTAAGCTCATCAACCATATTTAGAAAAAAAAAAACATAAAGCAAAAACCACACATCTTCTAGATGACTATATCGGTCAGAAGCCCTAATGAGAAGAATCAGTAAGATTTTGAAATTTATTTACCCAGGACATTTGAAGAAACTGACGCTTAAGGTCTTATTTTTTTTTAAGCTACATAATAGTTATAATTCATCATCATATATCAAGTCTAAGCAAAAAAGCAAATTAAATACTAACTCATTCATATCAAATTAAAATATAATTAACAGAATTTTAATGGAAAAGTGGAAAGATTTTTTTCTGGCATATTTGTTCATTACATTTTTGTAGGTTTTTTTTTTTCTATGAAAAGAGTTTCTTAATTCTAAACAATAAAACTTGAGAAAATATTTTCATTTTAAGAGATAGAGATTACTTCTTATCTGTCCAAGTGTTTGTGTTTTTCCAATGAATTATTGATATACTTATTAAGAGTGTAATTTTTCCTAATATGCTGATGTTTATCCATTTTGTTCTTCCTGTTTCAAGAAAAGAAGTATTAAAGTGCTAAGGAACACCACCAATTTTTAAATGCAATACTTTAGAATTTAAATTTTTACATGAACAAGGAAATTAATATTTACTTTCTACTCTTAACTTACCCTACATTATCACCATGAAAATGAATTAATGACAGAAGAATCTATATTTTACAGATGATATAAGTATGTACATCAAATATGAATATAAATATCAAATAAATTTCATAAAAAAGGACTCTATATATTTTGATACTATCATTATTGTAATGGTGACATCACCCTACATCTTGTTGACTATATTTTCTGCATCTTGATATGTATGTGTGTATGTATATACTTTTGATAGAGCTTTTCTACAGAATTAATTTTAACAGTCTATTAATTATGCCTACTATGGTGTGTCTTAATGTATGTTTGTGTGTTTGTTTCCTTTTTTTGTTTGCTTTCTTTTCTATTGCATAGGAATTTTGGACATATCCAATAGAGCAGCTGTAATAGAGAAACATAGAACAAATGAAACCAGTGTCCCTTCAGAACAACTGCTACCAGTAAAAGAGGTAAGTGAGGAAAGAAAGAGTGGGTTTTCTTTATTCATATATAATAGCATCATATGTCTGTGAATTTATTATGAATCAAAAATGTCTTGAGTTTTATCCTTTGACACTAAAAAATTATTCTTGGTTGAAAATTGGCTTATAAGTTTTGACAAAAATTGAATTTAGTGGAGACACTGTTCTCTTGAATGGAAAGAGAGGACTTTGTTCTCATCCCAGCTCAGGGTCTACACTTTAAGAATTTGTGTAGATAATTGTTGAAAAGGGTGGAAATGGAGATTAAAAAGGAAAGGAAAAAGAAAAGAATAGTTTTAAGTGGCCTCTGTGTTTTGTTTGTACTCAGACCTATTACCACTCTTCCCCTGATCTGTTCTATTTAATATGTTATAGAGAATGACACCTTCCAGGCTTCTGGGAAGGTTTGGCCAATGAAAGGCATTGATGGAAGACCAGGAGGGTGGATGTTGGAGAAAAACCATAGTATGCCTTCCCCTCTCTCTGTTTTAGGGAACATCTCTAATAGTACCTGTGACTCCTTCCTCTCCTCCATGGGCCCTGCTCCCACCACACAGTTTTCTCTCCAAGGTTTCAATTCCATCTGGCAATTCTGCCTTACCTTTAGCTTTGACTGGTGGCCCCAGGAGCTAGACTCCTAGGAATAGTCCTCTGAACCCTTTCTTTCTTCCTCTAGCCCTAGGAGTAGTAGTGGCTTCCTGCTGCATTAATATCTGTCTTGCTTCACAACTCATCTTTGACTCCTCAATCTTTCATCACCTTAGTAACCCACATTAAAATTTCTCATTTTGAAATGTCTAGAGTGGTTTCTGCTTTCTGAATGGCTCTTGACTAATATATACAGTAGTTAAACATTTAAAATGACAAAAGAACATAGAGTTTTAACAGTTTTGAGTTAGAATGCAAGGAAAATAATCAGGAAAGTTATACATTATGCTTTAACTAAAAATCAGAGTAGGTATTAAAAAATTAGTGTTAGGTAATGGAAGAAAGGGATTCAACAGGTATTTACTTTGTGCACAGAATAGAAAGCCACATTATTTCCTTTTCTTGGATCAACTAGTAAATGTTCTGTAATCTAACTGGAACATTTTTGGTGCTAAACATCAGAAGGGAAGAGTAGAAGGGAGCAAACAATATTTCATGACAACAAATTGACTTCTAGGAGGACATTTGAGTAGTAAAGGCTTTCAGTTATCTTTTTAAGCACAGCTATTAATGTGCCTGATTTTCTATATTTTGAAGAGACTTCAGTTGGGCCAAGGTATTATAATCACATGTAAATTACCATGGGCCGAAGTAATTATTATTGCACACACACACACAAATTTTCACTGCAGCCATGGTGAATACCAGCAATTTTCACCAGAATATATTTCCTTGGATGAATTAATGAATGAGTGAATGAATGATTTTAATGAATAGACATGCCCTGGTGGGGTTAAACAAAAGCAGATTTTTGTTGTTGTTTTTAATTTTCATGGAGGTGGTTTCCTTTTTATATTTCTGTCATAATGTGCCCCAAGGAAATACTGTTATGGCACAGGGACTATACCCATGACACTTCCAAAGTTTCACTTATAAGAAAGGAGATTATATAAGCTGTGTAGATTCACATAATGAATAATCTTATGTAAAAATAAGATGAGAGATGTGTTTTCAGGCCCTTTGATGTTAAAGGTCCAAATAAACTTTGGAAAGTTCAATTACAACTCAATTATAAGCATAGTTAAGTATGAGAGCCACTTTTTCCAACTATAGAATCATGGAACCATAGAATTTTATAGTTCTTGTAGAAGAATCACCTTTATTACTTTATACATTATATACAAAAAGCATGAAATTAATGCTGAGTGGGATGTGTATGCAAGAAAATGAAGCTAATGATCATAATCTCAGTAATTTTAGACTGAAAGAGACCACAGAAATCATTTAATTCAGCTCTTTTATTTGTCTAACAAAAAACCTGAGATCCAGAAAAATTAGTAATTTAGGCAGGGATATTGAGCCTAAGGTCTTCTGAAGTTGGAGTAGGTAAATTATTACTGTAAACAAGATTACATTAAAACAGGGAAAGTTTAATTCTAAGAATAGGTTCAACCTACTAACCATAATGTTTTTAGTGCGTTAGACAACATTAGAGGATTTTGGGGAAATATGCATTCATAAATATATTGCCATATGAGACAAAGACCGAAAGAAAACAAATAATACCAGCCTTCACCCCAACCTTCCCACTCCACCCACACAGAGTAATGTGGATCATTTTAATTTTTCATTTCCTGGAACAAAAGTAGTGCCACTTACCACTTTGTGAGTGGAGAAACTAAATAAAATTCTAAAGTAAAAATCTAGAAGGGTGTAGTTTTGTATTTTCTCTGAGAAATATATTTTTTATTGCTATTTTTTTGGCTTCTCTGGGTTTCTGATAGTGAAAAAGAAATAAAGATTGAATATTAAACACTGTCATGTTGCAATGCTTGTTAACAATAAACTATAAAAAAGACTATAAAATCTAATTTAGACTTTATTAAATATATTGAATTTAAAGTTTGTTTTATGTGATAAATAGTAAGTATAACTTTCAGCTCTCATAAAGATGGTTTTATTGAACTATATTTAAGAGATTAAATTTTGAAAAAAGTTTTTGATTAAACCCACTGATGAATTAAAATGAAATGTCAGTATATTACTGTGTGTAAAGAATGCACATGTTTTTGTATATTGCTTTATTCATTGGGTAATATTTTTCAGGTTGTAAGAATGGCTTTCTTTACATTTTATCAAAGAATACCTATATTCAACATGCTGAATAAAAGCAATAATTTTATATCTATAACAATAGAAACACTTGGTGAATTAAGATTAATATAACCTCATATAAATTTATGTTTCAGGCTACTTCACTAGATTTTGGCTGGAGAAATGCATTTAAAGAAGTGTCTCTTCCCATGGCACATTGTGTAACAACAGCAATTGAAGATTTTTCTATAAACATTCTCCAACAGGAACAGGATGACAGGTCTTCAGCTGTGACCTATGCTATAAACCTTGTAAATGTCCAACAAGTTTGGCAAGAGAGCCATGTGGTTCCTGAGGAGGACCAACCAAAGAAAATTGCAAAGGCAAGAATCAAATGAAATCCTTTCAAAATGTAGACTGCCATAATGATTTTTTAAAAAATATAAGTCATTATAAAGGAAACCTGTAGAAAAATGGTTGAGCCTCTTGGCAAATATTTACTACTTGACCCAACACCAGTTTTCTTCTCTGGTATCATGGGCCACTGCCAACAAAAAGTACTTAAACCTGCTACCACCATGTTGTTCTATGAGAATTAGGCAACTAAAAAGGGGACTGCTGTGATTTCATGAGGAGCTCGGAAAACTGCTTGTTTGAGTCATTCCTTGAATGACTACAGCAGAAATTTAGGAGGTTGGAGGAGTTACTGTCCTTTATTGGTTTGGGCAACCTTTAAATCTTTTTTTACCCGTTAATGAACATTCCATTTCATTAGCATCAGGTTTACATCTTTACATGTGCTTTGAGAGTCACAGAACATACTGAGAAAATAGGAGTAATAATGCAAATAGATACTCAGTATTAAGTCCACAATGAGCTCAGAAACTTACGATTGATATATTTTTTAAGAGATTTCTTAAAGATGGCCTCCTGTTCTGCTACTGCCACCCTGAGGCTCTAGAACATTCGCCAGGAACACGGCTAATCTGAAATGGAGGCAGTTTCACCTTCCCATCCACCGTACCTCCTCTGCCATTAAGAAGGAGTAGATTCATAATAACTAGTGAAAAGCTAGGCATATTACTTCTAAAACTTGCTGACTTCTTACCAGTAAGAAGATGCTACCTGAGATTGTTTTTGCTTCTAGATTAAGTTAAACTGATATAACCTTATTTATATGTGATGATAATAAAAGAAACCTTTTATGCAAATTTAGCAAAAGAAAATTAAAATAAATTAAAAAATAATGCAATCATGTTACTATCAAGTATACATATTTTCTGAGTTCTAACTACAAATAAAAGTATTGTCATGTGAAGCAATTTCATCAGTTTTTCATAATGTCTGTCTGGTAAACATAAAGTTTGAAGGTTATATAGAGAGAAGCATCATTTTGGTATTTCCTTATTTGACATAAAACACTTAACTTTCTACAACTGAGAAATCGATTACTATAAAGTTGTGTCATTAGATTTTTGTTTGATGCCAAATTCATTATTTAGGAATTTGGCTCCCCTGTACATAAATTACATGGTGCTGTCAGAGTACAAATAACTCAATGCTACATTTATTTCTCCCTAGTTTTGTTCTGACATCATGGAAAAACTTGACACAATGCTTCCACTGGCTCTGGCATGCAGAGATGATTCTTTTCAGGAAATTAGAGCAAACTTTGCGGAGGCCTGTTGTAAAGTGGCAACAGCTGTCCTGGAGAGACTGCAAGAGAGAGGCAAGGAGGTTCCTTCCAAAGCACCCCTGAAAAACTTACACACCCTGCTCTCCACGGCAGTATATGTCTTCCAGCATTTTATGCAATACGATAATTTGATGAAAGAAAATACTAAGAAGTGAGTGTCATTTAAGTTAAGTTGATGGCCATGCTGAAAGTGACATGTAATATTTGGATATCACAAGAGTGAAATTTTTATGATAATATTTGAGAAGAAAATAATAATTAACATGGTGAATTATTTTGATTTGTCTTGACTAGGAAATGTCAAAAAGGTGGAGCATGGGATATATTAAATCGGATACACAGATAGTAAGAAAGATATCTATTTTCTCTAAAGGCTCACTCAAAAGACCCAGGCATTTTCCATATTCTAATCTGGAGCAAATTTTCTGAATGCTCTTATGACGTGACCAGAGCAAACCCTTTCCATTTTGTAAAGACACTGTACTGACTACACTGAAAAAAGAAAAATAAACTTCTTTTTGTTCCATGTGTACAATGTTGTGAAATATGCACCTCTCTCTTGTTTCTAAGCCAACAAGATGTTAGGAGCTGACACAAAATAAATGCGTTTCAATATATTCTATTGGCCAATGTAAATATATTTCAGAACATCAATTTAGCAATAAACTAGCCTTAATATTTGAGGAGGAAGCATTTTAATTCTCATGTATTAGCAGTCTAAATAGATGCTGTGTTTTCTGTATAGAAAATGAAAATGACCACAGCTATTATCACATGGTCTTTCCGGCTACCCTTGTACTCTCGAGAAGATAGCATGGCCCCTTGCAAAGGGGACATGTGAACTTGACAGTCCAGTGTGAGCCCAAGATTCTATTCTGTATTACTTATTCAGCCTTTGCAGTTCCTTACTTATGAGAGAAAGAATAATGTTAATAGCTAAAGATAAATGTAAACTAAATTTGGCTTGGTGTAGGATATAACTATGATATTTCTTTAATTCTCATAAGTAGTCAGATGTTGTGATTCATACTTGAATTTATAAACTAAATCTGCCAGAAATCACTTTATTTCTGTAGAATATTTTAAAACAGTTTATGAGATAATTGACATCTACAAAATTACAATTTTTAAAATAAAAAGTGTGTTTGTGGGACGTGTGATAGCTTTATAAAAGTTGGTTCTGACAAATGCATGTTTTCTCTATAATAACGATAACCTAATGCCTAAATAATGCACTGATCTCTAATAATAGGCTTACAAAGAATACTTTTATTTTTGAATGATGTATTGACAATGCAGTTTGTCTCAAGTTGACGTGCATATTTGTGGAACAGCAGATGTACGTTTTCAAAGGACTCACAAAACAAAGACCAGCTTTTTTTTTTTTTTTTTTTTTGCTTTTTGGAAAGTGAATGTGGATGTAGACTTCAGTACTAGGAGGAAATGAATGATTGATATCTAATAATCAAAACCATTTGTAGTACTGGAGATTGTTACCTCCTACTGCACAGGCCTTAAATCTCTGTCTCTTTGATCATTCCCTCTGAGCAGACCCATATTTCTGGTGCCTGTCCAACGATATCAGGAATTCATCAACACGCTACAGTTTCAGGTTACGGACTACTGCGTCAGAGTTTGTGCTACAAGCATTTTACAGGATGCTGAGAGCCACCACTGGAACGACTACAAAGCTTTTTATGAGGTGTGAAGTTAAGTTTACTATCCCTCCTTTTTACACAAATATGTTTTACTGCCTACCTGCTTTCTGGCTAATTAGAAACATGAGCTTGGCATTACTAACACACTTAGGCTGTTAGGATAATATTTTTAAAATATTGAATTTGTACTTAGGAAAAACACTGTTTGTAAAAACCTGAAATAATTAGACATCAGAACTCTCCTTATGCTTAAAAGTAAAAATAACTTCATTTGAGCTGCAGTGTTTCAGTGCTTTATAATAAGTTGGAATATAATGGGATACAATGAAAACTCAAGGAGATAACAATGCCAAAATGCTGCAACCTTGTGTTTTTTCCAATGGGACCAGTTATAGGTATCCTTGCATTTGTTTTCTTGGTATGCATGTCCATCTGTGTTTGATAAATATGTTTTATTAAGCAGCTCCATTCTTTATACTTATTTTTTTTCTTCTCATTATATGCTGTTATGGGTGTGCTTTAAGACTCATCCAATCATTTGTAGCTTACCTATTTTCATTTAGCCCATGTTTTGAAATCCCAAATTTGTATTGAATTAAAGCCTAATGATTACCAGTACAACCAAACCCAGAATCAATTAAAATTATTAGTCATTAGCCTTCCTTAGTTTTCCTTACCCTGAGTCCCAATGATTATACATAAGCTACAATATATGTAATTCCTTGAAGTTGATTTCAGGACAGGGTGAAACATTTATAATATCTTAATAAAAGATTATCTGGGTTTTCAAAAAGATTCATCAGTCAAGCCCAGTTTCATTAGCTCTTCTCATGTACCCTTTCCTCTGGATTGAAGCTTCTGACTTTTGTTTTTCTTGATTGTCCTAATCACTATGGAGAATTGAAAAAAACAGAGTGGAGTTTTATTCAATGGAGTCACTCTTGTCACCTCCCTGACACTAAAGGTTCCTATGGCTCCATTTGTGCTGGAGTTATTATCATAATAAATATTGCCACAACGGAGAAGAGCAGCTAATAAGAAGCTCTTTTAAAGGACTTTCCACTTTTTCTAAGGTCATTTCATCTCTCCTTTAGAGGCCCTTCCCAGATACTTTTTCTTTTTTGCAAGAGCATCCATACGGAGTTTTCCAAACCTGACATACTTCAAACAGCAGTGGGTAGAATGAAAACGAGAAAGTGGTATGGTACAGCTGGTAGCCTGAGATAAGGATGAAAGTATTGGTCTTTCCCTCTCCTGGCAGCATCACAGCTTCCCTATTTGCCTTGAGGTAAACAGAGAGGTTGAAAATGAATCCATCTCATGTTTCAAAGTATTTCAGTATGTCAGTGTACTAATGAGCAATTTTATAAGATGTTTTCATTGAAAAACAGGTATCATCTCACCATATGTCCAACACAGAGGTATTATGTTTCTTCTCATGCAAAATGGGAACTAGAAGAGTTGTACAGTATAAATAATAAGTAGATGTATTGAGAACCTGTTATTGAAGTTACCAAGTATTTAGAAAAGAAAACAAATTACCATGTAACATGTAGCTCTTAGATCTTATGACAATGCTTTAGCTTCAAAGACAGAAATAACAAGATAGTTACCCTGTGATTACATGGTACTGTAGCTTCCATATACTTACATGGTCAGTAGTTACAATTTAATTGCAGAGTTAGTGGTTGTTATTTATGCTCAGAAAAATAAAGTGATACTGCTTTTCTATTTACCAAAAATAAGAACCTTCTAAAAATAGCACAGATTTTAAACTGTTTTGACAACTGGAGTACCTGACATGGTTTTAGCCCGTTTACTGCCCCCTTTTTCCTTCTCTCCCCATTATTCCAATTGATTTGTGAAACAGGACTGGCTTTTGGGCAGGGCTGTTTTGAGAGAAAAGGAGATGAAATCTGCTTAAATGGAGGCGAAGGGTAAGATAGAGATCTCAGGGGAAGCTGTTGCCATGTGCAGAGTGTAGTAAAGAAACAGTGAAAGAATTTACAAGATATGGAGCAATATTTGCTCATGTTTTGTGATATCAAGTGAGCCCTAGTTACATCATTTCTATTTTCTAAACTGTCAGGTTGAGCAAGTCAAAGAGTTTGGTATCTCTCTGATGAGGTGCTGGTCAGATGGCACAGTGGGTGTTCAGATTACATGTTTAAAATTAAGCATTTAGTATAGTTGACATCTGTTCAATTTTAGCAACTTGTGTTTTCCAACAGTCAAAGAATAAAGAATTGTCTGTTCAAAGATAATATTGAGTGGCTTATATAATAAAGCCCAGCTGCTTGTTTCCTGATATATAATCTAAATAAAAGCCCACATCTGTTTACATTATAGTGGGCCTACGAAAATAACAGATGTTTACTAGCAGAATAATTTTGAAATGTCAACAAATAGAAAAACTGATCAGAAAAATAAATGAATCACATTTAGTTTAATGAAAACCCTTGCATACATTGAAGTTATACACATTTTGAAGAGAATTATGAGACTCATGACCACTTTGGAATACAAACATGAAATTTATATCTTAAAAATAAGTATTTTTCACTTTTAGGAGAAGAAATCTGTGTGCCTAAAGTTATTTTTATCTTCTCATTTATTGCTTAATGGTAGCTATTGATGATTTTTAAAAAATATTTTAAAAACTATGAGAAATGATATCAAGCCACGTTATTATAAACACCTATCTATTGCCATGGGAAAAGTTAGTGTAAATTTTTCATATTAATCATTACATCACTTTTGCTTTAATTAACATAAACACCAAAAGTATATTAAAATTGAGCTTTAAAATGCCTTTCTTACTTTAGGAAATTTTAAAAACGATTCTTTATCACAGAACACACAACAAAGAAAACATAAACTATAATTTTGCTACTTCTGCATTAATTTTGTGACTTTTTTCTTAAATAGTTTTGATAAACATCTAGTCAGAAAGTCAGAAGCCTGTGGTCAAAGTCCCCGCCAGTTTGCACTTGAGTCTGAAATTTTGAGGCCCACATTTTCCACCCAAAGATACAATTCTACTCATTTATAGACTCCATTTGAAAGTCAATTGATAATGAATATAAATTATTATTATACAGTGGATACAAAAGTTTTTCGTAATCAAAGAAATTACCAGAAGAGTAACATGTAAGAAAAACACTAATAGAGGCATATGCATAAGAAACTATCTACCTATGGTATAAGAGATTTTTTTTTTAGATGACATTTGTTGAAGAAATCTAAGTAGTGGGCAAAGCAGAAATTTTAACTCAAAGAGTATTACTTAGAGATAAAAAGTAAAGTTTTACTCGTTTATCTTTTGATATAGTAACAATCAAGATAATATTTGAAAAATGCATTCTATTCTTTCTATTTTAAATAATGTTTTGATCTGGTTTAAAGTAGACTACTAGCATACCTCCTCCCTGAGAGCACGTTAACTAATTAATGCTTGATTACTTGAGGCTACCTTGTTATTTTTGTCTGTTCCCCTTGGCCTTGGCCGCTGTTGGGTCTCTCTCTGTGGTCAGGGAAAGAGATCTCTAAGGAGAAGGAAAGGAATGAGAATCTGGCCCCTTGGAAGTATGAAATGCTGTGAAAAGACTAAAAAATAATCATAACATCTGCCTAGGCTTTACACAAATCTTGTGAAATCAGACTATTGTAGTATCTGTTTCTAGTATTGTTATTAAAGCACCATGGATAAAATAGGCTAATATAATAACCTTCAATAATTACCCATCCCTCTTGGTTTCATACATATTGATAAGTATACAGTATGTAAGTTAATTTTTGCTCCTGTCATTATTATAATGTGAAATCTGAAACATTTGTAACATTATCTCAGTGATGCTAATAGCCTCAGAAAAATATAATATTTAATTTAAATAATTAAATTTTAATTTTAGAAGAATCAGCCCATTATCTTAAACTAGCATGACTTGTCTAGCAGTGATAAAGCTGGCTGTTTAAAAGTACATTTGAAGCTGTAGGCCAGGAGTAGGTAAATCAAGGATGCGCTAGGTGAAATTCTTGCCGTCTGGATTTGCATTAGAATATCTTATCTCATCATTGAAATGAAACATATGTTCCTTTGTCAGTAAGGATGTTTTACATCTTGTCAAAAATCTTTCTTGGTCATTTAGTGTGTCAAACTCGCCAGCTATTTCCTTTCAGCCTGAACTAATTAGGTTCATAGGAAGCAAACAGACATTTTGGAAGATGCAATTCTTTTGTTTAATGTGTGGTGGTTTTGCCAGGGGGAGAGATGCTCCTTCTCACTCCAGATGTGGCATTATTTCTTCTGGGCCCTTCATCACGATCTCTGGACCATTCTGCCCCCTAAGTTAGCCCAGGAGATTCTAACAGAAGTTCTGGAAAAATCTTTGGGTCTGCTGGCCTGCAGGTATGCTCGGGCCCATCCAAGTTATAAAAGAACTCCACAGATAAGGTAATTGATGTGAAAACTATTGGTTTTCAATAATTTTTTTTCACCATTTGGTATAAAGCAGAATGTAACTCTGAATCTCATGACCTAACTCATTTTATATTTAACATGTTTCTAACATCTGAAAGGAAATTGTGTTCAACTTTCTTGAGATATTTAAATGGAAATATGGAACTTGAATCAAATAACTTTGCTCATTTTTCTTCTTAAAATCACATATAGAAACCCACTTGTTTCTAAAAAAATGATTCAAGATGTATTACAATCTAGGATGTGCACACACACACACACACACACACACACACAAAGATTAACAAATAAGATAGAGAAAATGCAGGTCCTGAAATGGAGAAAAAAGCAGTGTTGTGATAGAGTAGTCAATTTGACTTTGAGATTTTAAGCAACCAGGGGATTTTAGTTTTTTATTTTATTTTTATTTTTATTTAAAGCCTTTAAATACTAGAGTTAATCTTCATTAAGGAAACTTCTTTGTCTAGTCATTTTTCTCCTTAATATTATTCTAATGACTTCTTTCCTCTTTTCCTTTATTTTCTTTCTTTCTTTTCATTATGTATCACTAAAAGCCAGTTCAACAAAATGTGAAATCAGAGGAAATGAGGAGCAATATCACTGAATATTAAATTAAAGACTGAATTATTGTCCAATTCCATGAATTACCTAGGTAATGAATATTACAGAAATGTGCTTACATGACAACAATGGAGTACTTGAAGACAAGCCTTCATTTTCTAAATATTCTGACTAATGTGATTAAGACCTGTCTTTTAAATATATAGGCGTATACAGATATATTTTAGGAGGAACCTACAGACCTCAGGGGCCTTTTTTATCCCCCCTTGGCAGTAGGAATCATTTCCTGATCGTGTTCTTATAAAGCATGCTGCATTTGAAGGGCATTTAGGTCCTGCTACAGTGTTTCATAAATATGGTATTTTACACAGGCTGTTTTGAATTACTGACCAAGCATTTTTTTTTAACTGAACACTGAAGAATAGATGGAAAATTCCTTTTGAGAGCAAAGAATACCTCCATTCTTTTCCTTATGTAGCGTAAATCACTTTTGACTATGAGGTGGCAAGTCATTATGAGATGTCTGTGAAATCAGATTTACTATTAGCTCATGAAATAGGTAGTATATTTAATTAAATAACCGTACTATAGAGACTTTTGGTTTTTATTTTCTGCCTGGTTACATAAAAATGCCGTGCAAAGCTAGAGTTATTTCTTCTACTTTTTTCTAAGTGAAATATTTTTTATTTGAATGTTTATTCCTAAACCACCATTAATGTGGAAATCAGATTGTGTGTGTGTGTATACATATATCTTGGATTTGTAATTGTTTAATTAGCGATTAGAGTGAGTGGATGCAAACTACAATTAAACCTTCCTAAAGGTGATTATTGTTGCTTTCAGTATTCCAGTAGCCTCCAGCGGTCAAATAACCAAAACCATATACATGGTTTATATATAATATGTGTTATGTATTATTAATATATGTATTAATTTATTGTATGTGTAACAAATATGAAGCCAAATTATCATTTTACAAGATTTGAACTTATTTTTCTTCATATAACTTCAAAATTTTCATCTTCTATTTCTTCAACAATGACTCTAAAAGAAAAAAAAAAGAGGGAATTAACTGAAGGCTGTAAAATTTAGTCATATACCTAAGTAATTTTCAAATAGATCTTTGGGTTCCTATTAAAACTCAGTAAAGGTAGAAACAAAGAAATGCATTTATGAATAAGATAAATAATATAGCATATTTTCTAAAAATTTATTTAATATTAGAAATTTCTGAAACTATAGGCTTCTACATTAGTGCTTAGGTCCACTTTGTCTTGTCTCCCACTTGCTGGGAGAACATGTGATCCAACCCTGTAACTTTCTTTTGACAGCTTGTACTTGAATGAGGAGAATTGTTCTGCTATCAGATTTTTACCTATCATATATTGGGTTGTCGGAAACGTCATGACGCATTTTTGCAATGAAAAACATAGAAAAATACGTCATGACTTTTCCTACAACCCAATATATGTGCATAATAGCAATTTTTCTTTTAATCTGGCTTTTCTTTTGCTGAATGTAATTTCAAAGAAAGTCTCTTGAACTTCTTTAGTGGTGTCCTGATGATGCAAAATAGGTATATATGTTTTTTTAAAAACACTGCTAAAACAATTCACTATTATAGATCTCACCATCCCTAAAGATAAAGATAATGAACTATGGGTCGTCTAACACTTGGAAACTCAAAACCTGTCTTTGAGGCTTTATGTCTATCTTTGATTTCTGAAACTCTGGTAGCTAACCAAATATTTCTATTCTTATATATGTGTAATACAAAATATATAGTTGATAGTGAATATGCCAAGTAGAAAAACAATTTTATTAACACAATTTTCTTCTTTTTCTTTCCAATAGACTTGATGTCACAGCAATTTTAATATGCACTGAGAACATGTTATGGTCAGTTTGCACATCTGTAAAAAAACTTTTGAATCCTCATGAGTATACAGATGATAAAATTTTTAAAATTCATACCCATTGTAATAATCTGTTTACAATGTTGGTCATTTTGACTTCACCATTAACTGAATTGTATCAGTAAGTATCAAATATACTCTCTTTTTAGTTATTATGATATATAAAATAATGTGATTTAACAAAGTTATTTTCATACTATTTACTGCATTGTGTAAAGTAGTAAGTAGAAATTTTTGAACTGTGTTTTTGATATTGTGAATTGGGCCATTTTGTAACACTAGTCAAGTGGGGTTTCTTTATCCTTAAAGCAATTTAGTCCTAGCACTGTTTTCTGGTCAATCCTATTCAGTTGACAAGGCTCCAATACATTTAGGATCATTGGAGCTTCACTATTTGAATTGTTTAAATAATCAAATTATATTAATGAGTTGGTTATTTAGTTCATATGTTGAAACTCTGTGAAAAATTAAATCACGTCTAATGGCATTTTGCTCTTAAAATTTCTTTTTTTTTCGTTTTTAATTTTATGTAAAATGATTTGCTCTAATAAAAAATTAAAATTAAAAAAATGATTCTAAAATATACCCAAATCTGGACAAGACCTAGTGATTCAGTTAATAAGAATAATGTCAGTTAATCTACAATAGATTTGCATTTTTAGTATTAGGTTTTAGTGTCTGAACTAGTAATGGCAAGGGAAAATAGGAATAAGGGATTACATTTTTCAAATATTGACTTTTTTTTTTTTAAAGATTTTATTGGGGAATTGGGGGATGGGAACAGTGCTGGGGAATTGGGGGAAGGGGAACAGACAAGTTGCTGTCGTTTTGTTCTTCAGTCTAGTTGTGGAGGACGTTGCTTCACTGGCCCATGTTGGTATTATCATTGCGCTCTTCCCGGTGAGGTAGATCAGTTGCCGGCCTCTGGACGGCCACTCACGGCGGCTCTTGGCAATTCACACTGGCTGTCAGGTGCTCACGCTGGCTGCCAGCCACACATGGTAGCTTATGGCAGCCCACTGCAGCAGGGGCTGCAGCCTACGCTGTTGCTGGTGACTCATGGCAGCCCAGATCCAGGTTGAGCTGTTGTTCACTGGCTTAGCTGTAGAGGGCAGTGTCACTGGCCTCCATGTGGGATCCAAACCGGGGCCCTGCTGCTCAGAGCTGGTGTCCCAAGCCAGCTCTTAACCAACCGTTCCACTTGGCCAGCCCTGCAGTAGATCTTATAATAAAACATTAATATAATTTTGTTTAAGCCCGCCTTTAAAATAGTCACTTTATTTTAAAAACTAGATAATTGCATATTCTTATTACTTAAATAGTGAAAAGTAAAATACAATATTTTTGTTTCATAGGATTAATTAGGTAAAGTGTTCCTTTTTTAACATTCTGATAAGAGCAATATACCTGGGGTGCCAAAAAAATGTATACAAGTGGACACTTGGGTCAGCGTTGCTCAAACAGTAGTTAGCTATAATCAAAAGTGTCTGGATGTTGATGGTAACCACTTTGAGCACCTCTTGTAATTGCAAAAATCAAACATGACTTGTATTCATTTTTTGTTATCAGTATATATTGAGTATTTCAATTTTAATACAGTTTTCTTTTCTTAAAATATGTATACATTTTTTGGCACCCTCTGTATAAATCTTGATTTTCAGTGAATTTTGAGACTTTTGTGTTAGAAATTCTAAGAGTAGTTAACAGTTTTGATTCCAATTTCCCTATAATTTTCACCCATTCTTTGACTTTCAACCAACCCATTGTTTATAGATTGTTTCTTCTGGCAACCCTCCATTGAAAACTAATTTTAGAAATGGAGAATTCTTTCAGAAAGGGGGAAAAAACAGTGAGATAAATTGCCAGAAGTTTGGGATTATATTTATAATGGTTCATAATCATAACAAGCTCAAGGTCTGAAGCCCATAGTAAACCCTAGTAAACTAAGCTGATTTACCATAGATGAAAAAATTGCTATGCTCTTAGTTCAATGGGTCATTTCATTTAAGAGGAAGGCCCTGTGAAAATCAGGAACAAAGTTGACAAATTTCATGGATTGGTCATGGTGAGGAATATTGAATTTCATGGTTTGTCACAGATGAATAGAAAAATTTCAACCCCCCAATGCATTTGTAAAACAAATAAATTATTATCAAAGATTGAATATTTTAATAATCATAATGTAAGTTGCATTCATTAGTGTTAACCTATGGCCTCCTGATACATTTTTTTAACAACTATGCAAGTATTCAACTCTCTGTGATTTGTGCATTAGATATTACACAGTAACCTCATTCAACAAATTTAAATTGCTAATTTCAACCAGGATTGCAGAACATTTTACACCAAGCACTGCCTATGGTTTTTCTTAATATAAAACAGATAGCCAAATTGTTTTGAAACATGAGCAGAAATATGATTGTTATCCTAGAATATTAATTTAATCTTTGAAATATATTTTGCTTTGTCTTGGCAAATAAATCTACCAGGCGGTGTATTCTCACCAACTAGGAAAAAAAATGTACATGCATTGTAAGAATCTATTGACTTATTTAGTTTCTTTTCATAATAATATGAAGTTTTCATATTATTAGTATTTTAGAAAAAAATTGCATCTCTATCTCATACTAAAAAATTAAACCATATGAGGATTTGGTGAAAAGTAACCATCAGATGTTGATAGTATTGAAGTTTTTATAAACTATCCCTGACATTTGTCACTGTATGTGATATGCCGCTTTAGAAGATGACTGACTTTATTCCAAATAGTTCTGACAGGTAAATGGAATATATTTTCTTTTCTAAGCTTAGCATAGGACCACTAAATCCCAGGGCAGAAATACGTGATTTTAAAACCTTTTCAGGAAGAATGAAACCTGTTTGCAAAAATGTGTATTCTTTTTTAACTCTTCTTTGTAGATTTCTTTTAGAATGTTGTAAAAGGAGTACTTTACGTTTACCTTCTAAAGAAAGAGACCTGCTGAAACATAAAATATTCACTGGGTATTTTCCAAAATGCTTATCACTTGTAGTTCTTAGGTAAAGGCATTTAAACAGCACATTCAGAAGGGTAGTCAACGCACATCCACACACACTCCCAGACAGTGGGTTCATATATTGCATTTTACTTGCAATGAATGTTAGTTTTAGTTTGTATACAGCAAATTCAAAACTAATTTTTAGAATTTTAGGTAAATGCAATTTAATGTCAATTCAACAAATGTTTTTGCCTCCCTCACCCGTGTGGTGAAGGGCAAGAATTAAACACAAGGGATACAACAGTGGGCAAGGTTAAATACCTGTCCTCACAACTTAGGGAAGTCTGATAAAATTTTTAATGTTAAAATTAAAAATGTTTTGATGTGTCATATAAAAACTTCTAAAAGGGAAAACTTTTGGAAAGTTGACTGTCCCCAATGTTACAACATTCATTAACATGGGAGAATGAATTTCAGTACAAGTGCCAACATACCAGGTAAGGGCTGAAGTCATCAGAAATAGGTCAGAACGTGATCACTAAGCCAAGCTCAGCAGACTTACCGTGGGGGTTCATTTGCTGTCACTAATATGGCTTTGGAATGACTAAATTCCAAGGTGTTTCAGTGTTGTATCTAAAGTTTGGTTGTAAACTAATCTAGATCTTTTGAGGTTGTGGTCTTCTAAGTGTGCTCATTTATTTATTAGAAAAAAAAAAGAACTATTTCACTGTCCCTCACAAACAGAACATGTTGGACTAAAACTTTGTTTTTCCTACTTCGGGAATGTCTGGCAAACTTTGGAAAACAGGTAGTTCCTCAAAATGTTAAGCATAGAGCATATGTATGTAAAATGTTGAGCATATGATCATATGACTCAGCAATATTGCTTTTATGTTTATACCCAAAAGAAATGAAAACATATATCCACACAAAGATTTCTCCACAAATGTTCATAGCATCATTTTTCATAATAGCACAAAGTAGAAAGAACCCAGTGTCCATCAACTGATGAAAGGATTAACAAAATGTGGCATATCTATACAGTAGAATATTATTCAACAGTGAAAAGGAATGGAGTACTGATAGATGCTACAACAGAGATGAACCTCAAAAATGCTAAGTGAAAAAAAGCCAGACATAAGAGCACACAAAATGTATGATTCTATTTACTAGAAATTGCAGAATAGACAAATCCATAGAAACAGAAAGTAGATTAGTTAGTGGTTGCCAGGGGCTGAGAGAAAGGGAGAAAATGAGTAATACCTGTTAATGGGTGCAGGGTTTTTTTTTTAGGCTAATGGTAATGAATAGGAACCATTTAGTTGTATACTTAAAATGGGTAATTTTTTTAAGTGTGTAATTTCATGGTAAGTGATGGATTATAGATCTCAAAAAAGCTGTAATAAATGAATGAAGACTGAATGGAAAAAAAGTTATTTAAAATGTAAAAAACAAACAAACAAAAATTCTGGAAGAATGCAAAATGATCCAGAAAGTGAAGTTTCTTGTCTTAGCCATTTTGTTTAGATTTAATGACTCCCTTTGTTCTGCTTCCCTCTAAATATTATTTTTAAGGGGAAATTTCTGTTAAAAAATAGAACTAACTAAAATTGAACAGCTTTATGTGTGGCTCTAATAAGGTAAAACACTGATAAAAGTTAACTTTTGAGAAGGCCTGTGCCCCGAATCTTTGACTAGATGGTTTCTGCTCTGTACTCACGGGTCAAGTCTTGTTGTATCTCTCCACCATGTTTTATTTTCAACCCGCCCATTGGCTTTGTACTATCCAAGGTTGCACTTCACAAATGGTCCCCAAAATTCATCCTCCTTTCAACTAAGCAGCCTCTGACAATACTTTCTAGTTATTCGTTTTTTTTTAACCAGTGATTTCTATGTACATACTATAAAGTGGTCATTTTCTAACTCATATCGTCAGTTTCTAACCTCAAAGAGTTATTTTCATCATGAGAAACACAAGTCAGGAGGCAGGAGAAATGTTGAGAACTGTATTTTATTCCAAATATCTTACCTTGATTTCTAAATGTCACTTAATAACATTCAGACAACTACTTAAGTGCCAGGGGTAATGCTACTTTATGAAAGCAAAGCAGTGACTTAGAATTATGTCTAAAATGGTGAAGTA